AAAAAAAAAAAAAAAAAAAAAAAACAAGCAGCAGTTCACTTCATTGATTATGTAAAGGGTCATTAGCATTTTTGTGCATGACATTGGTATTTGTCTTTTTGTAAAGACCGTAGAGAAGATCCTTGTCGCCAAAACCTGCGGAGAAAGATCTGTCTTCAGCTGTGATTGTATTCGGTGTCCTTTTACATTCTCATCACTTGCAATGCAAGAAAGCATTTACATGTGAAAGACTGAATTTAGTTGTATAGTTCCAATAACAAGGTTACATGAACAACTCTTATGATAATTTACCTACTTAAATATAGCATATGATATACTACGTATTTATTCGGTTATTTCAAGTTTTTAGAATTCAAAACCAATCGGGTTTTCTCGTTCAATTCGATAATAATTCGGAACCTTTACTATCTCTAGAATGCATATTGGTCATTTTAAATATTTTTTTCCCATTTTTTACAAAGTATATATATATAAATGCCAATTTGATGTATATATGCATGTCTATGCATAGTCACCACTCACATTCAGTGATATATCTAAATTCTTTAATTATGTACCAAATTTGTCGAAAATAATGTATCGGGGTGATACTCGAAATTTCAGAAATATGTGGGTGTTTTCCGGTAATATTAAGAAAATATTCTCCACTATCTTTAAGCGATTAGAATAGTCATCGCCGTTTTTTTGAACTCTCCCTCCTCAGGGGGCTTTTAGTATACACTCGAAGCTCCACAATCGAGGAGAGATTCTACGGCCAAGGTTTCGCTTCTTCCTCTCCTCCTCCTCCTTAATGGCGTTTTCTGATGCAGCTTCCATGGTTAGCATTTCCCGCTTCTTATCTCTTTCTATTCTCCTCGTGAATTTCTACCATTCTTTTTCCCCGTATATCGAGGGTTTTCCGAGATATTCTCGTTTGTCACATTGATTCGCTTTTATGCGTTTGTCGTCGAAATTCATGCATTTAGGGAGACTTGTTTAATCAGTGGTTCTATCGCTGTTTTCTTTTTTTTTTTCTTTTTTTTTGTATTTCTGGTCAATATAATACATTGTAGGAGAGACTTGTTCTGGAATTTAGTGTTGGTTTGATTCCGAGAGTGGATTTTGATCTTTCCTACGCTAAAGCACACTGACACGAGTCCGCTATTTGGAACGAATAGATCGAGGCCTCACTTTCTTTGTTCCAGAGGATTCCTCTTTTTTTGTAGGGTTTTTTTTTTGCATTGAACTCCAACAAGCTAAGTTAATGAAGAATTGTCTGTGTTACTTTACACAATGCGCTTAATGGTGAGTACAGGAAAGAAAAGTTGAGAATTTGAGAGCCCTTGTGGTGGAGGTGGCCAGATCGAAACGCCTGTTTCTTCCTGATCCGAAGCTCCTTCAGCGGAAACTGTTGAACCTCTGTTCTTCCGGTACTCCTGATCACCCTCCATATGGTGCTGTGAGTATAAGTTTTGATCTCTCTCTCTCTCTCTCTCTGTGCGCGCATGAATGGCTCTGGCCTTTTCTTACGCTAATACAAGGTTTGTGCAGATGATACATGAGGCGATCACGGAGTTGAATGAGGTAGGGGGTTCGAATGAAGAAGCCATATCACAGTTTATAAAATCCAAGTACAACAACTTGCCACATGCTCACACGAGCTTTCTCAGTCATCATCTAGCAAAGCTTGCGGAAAAAGAAGAGATTCTTTGTGACGGTAACAACTGTTACACGCTGCCGAGGGATAATGATGCTGCTTATGTTACAGAAATAGAGGTCGATAAGAACTTGGTGATTGAAGTTATGACCGATAAGAAGGAAGAGGAAAACGTTAATATTTTGGAATATGGGGAGCATAAGGTTGAAAACGTGGGTAAATTGTTGAAAGAACAGGATTTGATTACTGGAGCAGCAACCCATGCAGAGGGCAAAGCAAGTGGTGAGATTTTGAGATTTGAAGTACTTGAAGCCAAGAACAGAGATGAATCCCTGGAAGAAGATAGATTGACAACCGCAGCGCAACTTCTCTCAGAAAAAGATGAAAACATTGCTGTTTTGCAATCTGAAGGCCTTGAGAATCAAACTCTGCACAATTGTGAATTGCTGGTAGAGGAAAAAGGGAAGGAAGAACTTGGCGGTGGGCAATATCGAGAAAATCAAATGCCGGTGGAAGGAGGTAGAGTGAATTCTGAGGATAAGGAGATAGAAGGGAGTTTCGAAGTAAACAATAGAGTTGATGAAAGCCAGCAGAAACAAGATCAAGAAAATGAAGTGGATGAGGTAGAAGATCGGTGCGAGCAGAGTGATGCATTGATGGAGGATGCAAATGATGGAACGAGTATAACTTCAAAGCAAGGAAAAACTGGATTGCATACATCGGTTGATACGGTGAAAGGAGCATTCCGAGAATTAGAGAGAAATGAAGCGGAAGTGGGGAGAGATGAATATAAGAGACTTTGTGAAAAGCAAACTGAAGCATGCAGTGATATCCTTGCTCTAGAGTGAGTTTTCCTACTCTTTTTACAAATTTTTTGTCCTCCCTGATAAAATTATTTGTAAAGCTGGTTTAACATTTCAAGATTTCTCTTCGGGGTTGAATTGATAGGAAAATGCTAAAGCAATGCATGAGGAGCAAAGAGCAGAATGAAGATGTTTCAGCCCAATATAGCCCATTTCACGCACAGCATGATGTTACTCGTCTTGGTTCACTGCCTTTATCAAAGGTGATGCCAAAATCCCAATTAAGTATCACCCTAATGTGCTTTAACCCGATAAAAGTCGGTCCAACATTTTTTTTCTTCCTCTTATACTGTTATACAGGAAAGCTGCAAACAGTTGTGGAAGTTTGTACACAAGATACAGGGGCAGCTCTTTGAGATTATCGATTCCTTTGACATAGCTCAGGTTTCTAATTCTGAATCTCGGGGCAATGGAGTGGAGAGCATGGGAAAAGGACTCTTTCCAGAGGGTCCTAAGAAAGCGAAGAATCCTTGCAAAACAGGAGAGATTGGTTCTCATACAAAGCCAATCGTCGAGGAAACAAAAGTGAAAAGATCTCCAGCCATGGAAGCCGCAGAACTGGGGGAATCATTTCATGAACAGAAGCAAAGGAAGCTTTGTGATGGGCAAGCTTTTCATTTGCTTGTCCCGGGTGGCCTGACAAGTGATTCCTCAGTCAGTGAGGAGATGGAAACAGATAACCGATCCACCGAAACAGTAGCCCACATTTCTAACAAAGAAGAGCTGATATGTGTAGAAAAAGGTCTGTCTGAAAAGAAATGCCAGCGAGAAAAACTGGATCCCCCCGCAGAGAAACAAGATCCAGTAGGTGAAATGCAGATTAAACCCAGAAAGCACGATCAAGTGGCTCTCCAAATAGAAAGAAACTGACACTGAGTTACGTATACACTCGATAACGCAAAGGGAAGAAGTTAGCGAGGCCATCTACAACCGATGGCACGGAGAAGGCAGCGGATGTCGGATTGGAACTCGAATCTTCAAGAAGACTAGGATCAAGTACTTAGGTTTATCTTTACATTATTGGTGATGTACATCTAGGGGGAAACCCTACTGACATTACCCACCTTCGGCATTGTATATAAGGGGTAAACCCCTGAATATGAATGGCATCAAGAGAGAGATTTGATCAAAATATTAGAGGAAGGGCAACACCTCGAACCATTATGTTCTTGTGTTCTTGGTTGATCTGTACTTATTTTCAGGTTTGATCCTTGGGTTCACTCCAGAAACCATCAACTTTAACAGAGGAAAGCCGATGTAGAAGATGGTCATGAACAGAAGAATCCGCGGCTGCAACATTCTGAATCATCACTGCAGTAACCAAGGCAAGTCACTTCACTAGTTGCTGCAATACCCGGAATGCCAGATAATGCTTATAGACCAGATGAGCCATTGGCCCTCATTAAAAATATTTGAGGTTAGGTCTTTGATGATACAAGTATTTACATAATGAATATATCTTTCTCATAAACTTTCTTTGCAGAACAACAAGAATCTGGCTGGGGACAACGAGTGGATGATACTACTACTGATTTGATGGTCCTACTACACATTCCCATTTACTAGCTTAAGCTTGGAAAGATGTACAGCAACATTCGTGTGATCTTCCACTTTTACCCCTGTGGAGCATAACTCCAACTCAAGAAGGGCTTCTGCTCCGGCGGCGGGTCCTGGAACAGGGAGAAGAAGTCGGTCTGGTACGGGAACTGAGGGACAAAAGCGTCATTTTGCATGAACTCCATCGAACCGAACAGCGACTTGTCGAAGGCCTCGAATGCGTTCTCGAGCTCCGTCCACTTGGGGGGCTCGCTCTGAACCTCCCTGTTGTCCTCGCACGTGACATCCGGTGATATCACGTGACCCGAGCTGCTCGAATCCTCTTGCGCCGTCGGGAACGAATCCGACGACGTGTCGAAATGTGATTGGTCTTCCCTCCCCGCCGCCGACCTCTCTTCCGTAGGATAGTACTTCTCCATTGTCCCTTTCTTGTTGTATATCCGACACAATACCCAATCATCAAGCTGCAACAAAGAACGACGGAAAGCGTTTAGTAACCAAATCTCGATCGAGAGAGAGAGAGAGAGAGATGATGATGATGATGATGAAAAAGCTTACACGCAAGTTGTTCTTGTTTACAGAGGCAGACCGATCGACATTAGCCAGACGGTACTCGTGCATGATCCAATTGGTCTTGATCCCTTTGGGAGCTTTACCCGCGTAGAAGACGAGTGCTTTCTTGATCCCCATCGTCTTCGGTTTACCGATCGGTTTATCCGCACCGGTCGCCTTCCAATAACCGGTTCCCGCTGCCCGGTTTGGTCGCGAACCGTTCGGGTATTTCCGGTCTCTGGGCGAGAAGAAGTACCACTCTTTCTCTCCATACAAAGCCATCCCTGAAAAACACAGAACGAAAGGGACAAGATTCAGAACAAAGGAATCTCCCAACTCCAATTGAATCTGAAAAACCAGAAGTGCCCAGTTGATATTTCTGCAAATCAATCAAGACCCGTCTTAGATTTACCAGGAAGGTCCCAAGGATCGAACTTGTAGAGATCAATCTCGGCGATAACCGGAACCGTGATCGGCTCCGATGCGCATTTCCGACACAAATAGTACTTTACGAGCTCCTCATCTGTCGGATGGAATCTGAAACCGGCCGGCAAGTTCAACTCCGCCTTCATTTCCCGAAATTACCCCTCTTTTCTTTGGCGGAACAAAATGTATCTTGAAAATCAGATTCAATTCGATCTTTCCGATGTTTTTCCGGGCTGATGAAGATCTGAAACGAGGAGCAGAAAGTGAGAGCACCAAGCTTTTATAAGAGGGGAAAATTAGTGAATTAAGTTTATTTTCTTACAAAAGAACAAAAAAGGGGCGAGCGGAATTTTCAGGCACGTGCGGCAAAACCGACCGTTTTCTTTTCCACGCTGACCGCAGCCTACTGGCTGCACACGTGGCCGGATCTGATTGGGTAAGGACTCGTGCGGCTGGTGATGATGTCATCGCTTCCGTCACCCGCACCTTGCAAGGATTGTCTACATACAAAGTTTCCTATGGATCGTTGACCGTTTTTCCAGTCTTAGTCAAACTTTGATCTGCTGCTTTTTTATAAGTTTTCCTTTTATTTTTTTTTCTATAATTGGTTAAATTTCATTAAATAAATTAGTTTAACACCTTTGATTCGATAGATTAGCATAAAATGATAATATAATTATTCAACAGTAAAATGAGAGGTCGACTTTACTTGGAGGGGAAGTCGATCCTATTTGCAAGTGGTTTAGTGTAGAATGTTTCGGTGAGCCTTCCGTAGGAGATTCCTCGCTCTCGTTCTCTACTTGGCTTACGTCATTCACATGACGTCATCATTATCTAAGTCGACTGCCCGACCTGCTCGCTTTCCGCCACGTGCACAATGAAGAGCCGACTCGGCAACATTTTTATTTTTTTTGTGTGTTTGGTTACAAAATCATTTTTCGTTTTATTATATGTTACTTGTGTATTTTTTGGTAACCCATTAAGCTAATTATCTGTAATTGTTTACCTCTAAAATTTTATAAAATACTTCGAAATACACTTATAAAAAGTCGTCATTTACCAATTATAGTCATAGCCTATAATTGTATACTCGTTTATAAGAATAAATACCTCAATATATAGAACAATCGTATATGCTTTCAAATATATACATATAATTTGTTTTATGTATAAATATGTATTATTTCAAATAACTTAGAAATATATTTTTATTGGAAAAAAAAGTGAATTCACCATAGTTTATAATACACTTTTTTTTTTGTCATTTGCACGTAAAATAATGATACGCCGGTGAGAAAACGAGCTGAATGAGAATGATGTGAGCTATGACATATAAATGTCCCCCGTCTAGTAAGCACTTCCTATTTTAATGTAATCATAACATGCAGTCACACACAATAACAATTCATTATAAAATCATAATAGTTTATAATTTGATTCAATGCCTTTCCATGACACACACACACACACATATATATATATATATGCACTACTGTTTATATATTCAATTGTAGGAGTCAAAGGTAGGCGTTGTTTAATTTATTTAGGAATATTAGAATACACCACATACAAAACTATATATATATATATACCAATACCACAATCATAATTATTTGATGTTTTACCAAATATTCAAAACATGTAATTTCATTCAATTATTTCAGTTATTTAATTACTTTTTGGTCAATGTGTTGAATAAGAAACAGTATTTTATAACCAAGTGGTAAGAGTTTTTTTAAAATATTTATAAAAAAAAAAGAAATTATAGGTCCAAACCATGTTTAACGTAATTTGTATAAATAAATGCATAGAATAGGGTTTATTAATAAAAAGAAACGATATAAAGAATCATATGGTGAAGTTTCCAAGTCATACAAACGTGTGATGCTAAGTGAATAATAGTCTTGGTTTGTGCAAGTAAATAACTATAAAAAAAAAAGAAATATTAATTTGTCTGTTATATATGAAATTCAATATATATATATATATATATATATATATATATATATATATAGAGAGAGAGAGAGAGCAACAAACATTCAAAAGATGGATCACAAAACGGTGAATGTTCCCTGAAAACGTCAGCTTCAACATACAAACTTTTCTATATATATGGACAAACTTAATTAATAATTTGTATTGGTCCGTCATTGTTATATATATTAATGTTGAATATTACATGTCTCATTTACTACATCATCCCTCCACCAGTTAATATTATTCTGATATTCTCTACCATTATCTTCATTAGTTATAAAATACGAATATTAAAGTATCATTCGTTAGTTGGTTTTCGCATGGAATGGAATTGAATTTGCATCAGTTATTTCACAATAAATTTACAACGTACATATATGTTTTTATAACATAATCTCTTTTTTAAAAGTGTAATTCTTTTTCGTTTTATGTCGCGAGCGGTGTGTATGATTAAAGATAGGAAGTTTCCTAATTTCTGCGAGCTGCCAAAATTGACTTGCATAAGATTTTGTTTTGTTTTCTAGGGATTATATATGATAATATATATATATATATATATGAAATGATGTAATATATTTTCTTTTTGGGTAAAAGATGTAATATATTTGCGACAACGGAGAGACAACTTGGTACTTATTGTCGGCTTTAAAACCTTACTATTGCTAACATCATCATCTATTATGTCTGTAACTTTTATTCTTTTTTTTATTCTATTTTAGTATTTAGTCTTTACACATAATAATAATAATAATAATAATAATAATAATAATAATAATAATAATAATAATAATAATAATAATAATAAAAGGAAGGCCTTTCATGAGTTTGTTTCTTGATTTGAAGAAACCTAATATAAATTTTGACGCAGTGTGTGTATTAATATTATCGTTAAGAATAAAAGATTATTAGGACCGTGTGTATATATATATATTACACGATGAAAGCCCAATAGAATGGGCCCTATAACATGAAGGCCCATCTGCGAGCTTTGTCATTTCTTTTACGTTATAAACTTCTCTGTCTTCTACGCTTTGCTAACCCAATCATATTCTGTTTAAACTTATCCAATCTCCCAAACAGAGACGCAAAGGCAAAAGTGTAATTTTTAATTTTCCCGGAAATTATTTTCAACCCTACACGCGAATTTTTTTTTGGGTTCCATGCAAAATTAAAACCAATTAAATATTAAAATCAAGAGTATAACCCCGTTTGAAGAGACTAATCAAATACGAAAATGTTGAAAATTTTAAAGATACAAAAAAATGTTTTTTAGTAAAATTGAATCGAAGCCAAATCTAAATCATGAATATAACTTTTTAAGTCGAAAATATGAGCTTGAAAATAAATGAAATCAAGGTAAATCTGAAATGTTATGAACTGTTTATGGAATTATTAGCATTTTATGAAATTATTAGCCAATATGCAAAAAATGGGACATTATCTAAGATTTCTACTAATGACAAAGTTGTGTAATTAATTTATTTCTAAAATAAGGAAAGCATTCATGTAATAAGCCCTTCTCCGTTGCCTTTTCAACGCCTTTATTTTAATGACTCCCAGTAATCATCACACATTCAGAAGATTCCTCATGATGCACCAAAACATACACATATACGTACACCCAGGATGTGTGTATATACACGTACACCCATAAATACATTGCCCTTTTCGGACAGGAGTTGCTGAGTAAACCCATATCTGAATCGGGGCTCTGTTCCATTCCTGTAACAGCATCGAGAATTGGCCGAAGAAAATGGAGTCGGGTCGGGCCGGGCTCTTGTGGGCTATCGGAGTGTTTCTGGTTCTCATCGGCGGCGGCGGAGCTGCGGCGGCGGGGAGAGTAACGTACGACGGGAGGTCTCTGATTATCGACGGCCAGAGAAAGCTTCTCTTCTCCGGTTCCATTCATTATCCTCGCAGCACTCCCCAGGTAATTTCATCATATCGTACATATACGTACGTATATATGCGTGTATATTTGTGTGCATATACGTGTGGGCATTCTTTTTTTAAGTTTTAGTTTCTTTTCCGCTCTGAGTTCGGACATAATGGATAATGAATCCAGAAGCTCATCTCCATGGCTTTTTCAGTATCTCCTTTGAGCCATTTTCTGAGTGTACACATTCGATCGCCGGAATGTTAGTTAAGATTGCAAATGTAGGAGATAGTTTGTTGAGCATGAAGAATGTGTATGTATGTATGTATGTATGTATGTATGTATGTATGTATGTATGTATGTATGTATGTATGTATGTATGTATGTATGTATGTATGTATGTATGTATGTATGTATGTATGTATGTATGTATGTATGTATGTATGTATGTATGTATGTATGTATGTATGTATGTATGTATGTATGTACAGATCATGCAAAACATAAGAGCAGAGAATGCACCACTGAGTGTTTGCTTTGTTTGCAGCTTTAAACTATGATACACAGGGAACACGAAATCTCTGTTGGGTGACGGGTCCCAAAACGGCCCCGTTTTATTCCCTTTTTTTTTTTGGGTATTTTTTTAATTGGATGATTAACCGATATTATTATTATTATTACTAAAGTAAATAAAATAAGAAGGTCAAAATGTGATTAATGATATCGTGTTATGATTAACAGGTTCATCATGTGCTTGTGACCATAATTAAGAACAAATCATATACAAAGTCATCTATATATATAACTTCGATCGTGTCTCTATGTGATTTGATAATTAATTAATTAATTAATTAGGTCTATATATAATATAATCATGTGAGAACAACTCGTTACCTAATGGGATCCCGAAGCGAACAGAAAGAACATGATTAAATCCCCTAAACAATGATTAATCATATTAATTTGAATGATTTTTCCGAATTTCAAATAAAAATGCAGATGTGGCCATCATTGATAGCCAAGGCAAAGGCAGGAGGGATCGACGTTATCCAAACTTACGTTTTCTGGAATCTACATGAACCTAAACCGGGACAGGTCGGTCCATGTACATATCGAACATATCTATTACATATAAACATTATTATATGCATGATTTTTTTTTTGTAACGAAAGTACATAAAACAGTACGATTTCAGAGGAAGAAATGATTTGGTGAAGTTCATAAAACAAGTACAGTACCAAGGTCTGTATGTTTGCCTACGGATCGGACCGTTCATAGAAGCCGAATGGAATTACGGTGGACTCCCGGTCTGGTTAAGAGACGTTCCCGGTATTGTGTACCGGACCGACAACGAGCCCTTCAAGTTCTACATGCGAAATTTCACTACTAAGATTGTAAATTTGATGAAATCGGAGGGCTTATACGCTTCTCAGGGAGGCCCAATCATACTTTCTCAGGTCTGATTAGTTTCGATTCTTTCTGTTTAACTATGATATGACGTATATATACGGAACCAAGAACCGGTTTTGCTCGGACCGAACCGGAAAAGAGAGAATGAGACAGGGTGGGCTTGCTTTGTGTGTGGTTACAGATAGAGAATGAGTACGGGAACGTGGAGGGAGCTTTCCCACAAGGAGGAGCGGCTTACGTCAGGTGGGCGGCCAAAATGGCGGTCGGGCTTCAGACCGGAGTGCCTTGGATCATGTGCAAGCAGCCCGACGCCCCCGATCCCGTTGTCCGTACTCATTTCTCTACATCTCTGATATCTCTCAGATTATATATATATATGTGTATATATATATGCATTAGGGTTTATGTGCGTGTATATGATTCGTAGATCAACACCTGCAATGGGATGAGATGCGGAGAAACGTTCTCGGGGCCTAACTCGCCCGACAAGCCGAAGATGTGGACCGAGAACTGGTCATCCTTGTGAGTAATTAATTTCGAAAGTTGATTTTATTCAAAATCTAAACAATAAATAGGATATCACATTGCATGATTTATACAAAATGACAATGAAATATATATTAGAAAAATATATATATATATGCCACATGATCGTCTATTTCTAACAGTCGAGAGGTTTCTTGTTCCGCAAGCTAATCGATCTGTTCTTTTTTTTCCGCCTCGTGTGATGAAGTTTCCAAGTTTTTGGAGGAGAGCCGTACATAAGATCAGCAGAAGACATCGCCTTCCATGTCGCCCTTTTCGTCGCGAAGAACGGTAGCTACATCAACTACTACATGGTATAACTCTCCAAGGCCCAGCTATGATCCATCGTTCTCTGTAAAGATCGATGTTGATATGTGTGTGTATATATATGTATATATAAACTTACAGTACCATGGAGGAACAAACTTTGGAAGAAGCGCGTCGTCGTATTTCATAACAGGATACTATGATCAGGCTCCTCTCGATGAATACGGTTCGTCTCCTATACATATATATATACACATATACACTCCTAACCTAACCCTAGATCATCTCTTGCTTAATCTCCATTGTTGCATGCATCAGTGTCAGAAAAAATATGAACATGTTATATAATGCAGGTTTGGTAAGGCAGCCCAAATACGGCCATCTCAAGGAGCTTCACGCCGCCATTAAGTCTTGCATGAAGCCTCTTCTAATGGGGAAGCATACGCTTCTCTCTTTGGGCCCATTACAACAGGTGAATATACGATCTCTTTCGTAATTTCTTTTTTATATGGTACTACCCTCATTTTATCAATAATATTATCATTTCGAATTTGTATGTCGGCATATCCATCGTAACTCTATGATTGTTTTAGGCTTATGTCTTTGGAGACGCTACAAGTGGATGCGTCGCCTTCCTGGTGAACAACAATGCCGCTAATGTAGCTACCGTAACGTTCAGAAACAAGGCGTATCGGTTGCGGCCCAAGTCTATCGCCATCTTGCAGAACTGCAGAACCGTGATTTTTGAGACAGCAAAGGTAAGTTTTTCGATTCTTTTTTAGGGTTTTAGATTCATAACCAGAGTTGGGGTTTTGAGGAAAATGAGACTTAAGCATAGGGGATATCGGTGACAGGCTAACGTCCCCAAGAACACAAGGGTTACAACAATGGTCAAGAGGTTTGATGCTGCGGAGACATGGACAACAGTTACAGAGACTGTTCCGGGATTTTCAGACACATCGTTTAGGGCAAATTCTTTGTTGGAGCACACAAACTTGACTAAGGACACAACTGATTACCTTTGGTATACGATCGGGTACGTACGTCAGTTGAAAGATCCTTTTCTTTTCTTTTTTTTACTGATAATCCGTAAGTTTATCGAGCGTTCGACCAATGTAAAATGCCGAGCTTTGCCCCACCCCTAGATCATTTTCTTTCTATCGTCTGGTTTACGATGGAAACTTGGGACTAAGTCGATGTTGATGTTGATGTTTGGTTTATGGTGGTCTTTTTTTGTTATTTCCAACATTTCGATAATGAGAAACAGGTTTAATCCGAAATCGCCTTGCGTCAAGCCCGTACTTCACATTGAATCATTGGGGCATGTTGTTCATGCATTCGTCAACAATGCACGGAAAGGTACATACATTCATTAGCTTAACACAGAAGAAGATACTATAAGCATAGATTTTTCTTTTCTTACATGATAGCGAGTATGTATGTATATATATATATATGCAGGATCTGGACATGGAAGCCGGGACATCAAGGTAGTTAAAATGGATGTTCCAATACAGTTAACAAGAGGACAGAACAACATTTCCATACTCAGCGCCATGGTTGGCCTCCCGGTATGTATACGCATATATACGTATAGGTGTACGTATACGCTTGGTTTTTCTTTCCCTGTCAAGCCAAAAAAAAGAAACCCTAGTAACGCCCATTAATCATCAAGGACTCGGGAGCTTTCTTGGAGAAGAGGACGTTTGGGCTGAGGAAGGTGCAAATGATATGTTCAGGGGTAATAAAGTACGATTTCAGCGGATCGAAATGGGGTTATCAGGTGAAAAACTTGCATGGTTTAATTATATATATATATACATATATATGAATTATAATACTTGTACGTTAGAATGAACAGAAGAGATCTCATCGGGTAGTTTGCAGGTGGGTTTGGTCGGGGAGAAGGTTGGGATTTATGACAGAACTAACGTTATGAATGTGAAGCCACTCAAGTGGAGCCCGAAGGGCGTTGTCCTCAAGAACCGCCCTCTCACTTGGTACCAGGTACAGTAGAATATCACATCATATCATATATATATATATGTATGTGTATATATATGTATATATTAAGTAATGGATGGCTATATATATGTATGTATATGCAGAGGTGGTTTGAAACACCGAAGGGAGACGATCCATTGGTATTGAACGTGGGGACGATGGGGAAAGGTGAAGTTTGGGTGAATGGACAAAGCATCGGACGGTATTGGGTCTCTTTCCTCACTCGTGCCGGCCGGCCTTCTCAATCCATGCAAGCCACTCACTTTTCCGCCTCGTGTGATGAAGTTTCCAAGTTTTTGGAGGAGAGCCGTACATAAGATCAGCAGAAGACATCGCCTTCCATGTCGCCCTTTTCGTCGCGAAGAACGGTAGCTACATCAACTACTACATGGTATAACTCTCCAAGGCCCAGCTATGATCCATCGTTCTCTGTAAAGATCGATGTTGATATGTGTGTGTATATATATGTATATATAAACTTACAGTACCATGGAGGAACAAACTTTGGAAGAAGCGCGTCGTCGTATTTCATAACAGGATACTATGATCAGGCTCCTCTCGATGAATACGGTTCGTCTCCTATACATATATATATACACATATACACTCCTAACCTAACCCTAGATCATCTCTTGCTTAATCTCCATTGTTGCATGCATCAGTGTCAGAAAAAATATGAACATGTTATATAATGCAGGTTTGGTAAGGCAGCCCAAATACGGCCATCTCAAGGAGCTTCACGCCGCCATTAAGTCTTGCATGAAGCCTCTTCTAATGGGGAAGCATACGCTTCTCTCTTTGGGCCCATTACAACAGGTGAATATACGATCTCTTTCGTAATTTCTTTTTTATATGGTACTACCCTCATTTTATCAATAATATTATCATTTCGAATTTGTATGTCGGCATATCCATCGTAACTCTATGATTGTTTTAGGCTTATGTCTTTGGAGACGCTACAAGTGGATGCGTCGCCTTCCTGGTGAACAACAATGCCGCTAATGTAGCTACCGTAACGTTCAGAAACAAGGCGTATCGGTTGCGGCCCAAGTCTATCGCCATCTTGCAGAACTGCAGAACCGTGATTTTTGAGACAGCAAAGGTAAGTTTTTCGATTCTTTTTTAGGGTTTTAGATTCATAACCAGAGTTGGGGTTTTGAGGAAAATGAGACTTAAGCATAGGGGATATCGGTGACAGGCTAACGTCCCCAAGAACACAAGGGTTACAACAATGGTCAAGAGGTTTGATGCTGCGGAGACATGGACAACAGTTACAGAGACTGTTCCGGGATTTTCAGACACATCGTTTAGGGCAAATTCTTTGTTGGAGCACACAAACTTGACTAAGGACACAACTGTTCATATCATTGATCTTATTGGAGATATGAATTAATATTGTACATATAGGTATCATATTCCGAGAGGATTTCTCAAAGATTCGGGGAATCTTTTGGTGGTATTTGAAGAAGAAGGCGGAGATCCTCTTGGGATCTCTTTGAGCAGAGTTTCTGTTAATTGGTCCTAATCAATCAGCACCTTGATCTTTCTTTCTTTTAGGTCCATTCATTAAAAAAAAAACGCGGAAATTGTTTATTTAATCTTTTTTATGGGCTTGGTTTTTATATATATATTCGTGTTATTTTGGATTACGTTGAGCATTTTACATGCGAGATTAAAATATCCGATTTGAATCAGTAATATAATTTAAAATTTATAACCATAATTAATAATCCTCTGTCTCTAATTAGTTGTCATTTAAGAGAATATTTTAGAATATTTTTTGTTTCTTAATTAATAGATTTCGTTTTAGATTTTCTAGATGATTTTTAAGAAAATTTTAATTTTATTTTTGATTATAAATACTCAACTTTATAGATTATTAATGGATTATCAATGAGAATGTAATTTAATTAGAGTATATGTGACCTTTTTTATATTTTTTTAAAAAACTGCGAAAAAATCTAAAACGACGTATAGTAGAGTATTAGAAAAGACAAAATAATCCACCGCTC